CTCTCCAATTTCAAATTGAATCTCAGTAAATCGGAGGCACTTAATATCTCGATCCCTGCAGGCCGCCTACGCGGCCTCCAGCGATCGTTCCCGTTTAAGTGGGCATCGTCTTGCATCACATACCTAGGAGTGTCTATCCCAGCAGATATCAAAGATACCTTTACTCTGAACTTCCTCCCCATTCAGAAACGCATTGTCGCAGACCTGAAGTCTTGGGACCGTTCCACAATTACGTGGATGGGCCGCAATAGCATTTTAAAAATGACAGTCATGCCCAGACTATTATACCTCTTTCAAACGTTGCCGATTTCACTTCCTGCCACGTATCTGCGACAGCTGCGCTCACACTTCCTAGCCTTTCTGTGGGCTAACAAAAGGGCCAGATTGCGTCATCACATCCTCTCGAGACCCCGGGCAACAGGAGGATTGAGTTTTCCAGATCCTTCTCTCTATTACAGGGCGACTCACCTGGCAGTGGTTGTGGACTGGTGTTGTAACGTGGAGCAGAAACTGTGGGTGGCCTTGGAGCAGGAGGATTGTCCATGGCCGTTGCACGGCGTTCCGTGGATATCTCCGACATTGCCGCTCTCCACCTGGACGAACTCTTTGGTTCGCGCCACGATGCGAGTGACGGGCAGGGTACTCCCCTCTCCTGGCCTTTCTCCTGCTCCATCGCCCATGGCACCAGTGGCAGGGAGCCCGCACTTCCCTCCGGGTCTGCATAACCCATTGGCCAAATCGCTAGAGACATCAGGGATGACTAGGCTATACCACTTCAGCGATAAAGAACGATGGAAACAAATTGCACAAATTCAGTCCCTCACTGACCCACCCCTACGGCTATGGTGCGCCTTGCAAGTCAGACACTATCTATGCTCATTCTCGAGACAGGCGTGCCCCCAGAGGCGGTTGACAGATTTTGAGAGCATATGCCTGAAGGCGGAACCGACTAGACACACTCTGTCTCTCATGATGAACTACCTCCGCAATCCCCCAGCCTTGCCCCCACCATATTTCGTTAGACAGTGGGCCACTGAGCTAGAAATAGACCTGAACCCCCAACAGGTGGACCGTATGATATGTTTTGCCCTCAGATCTTCGGTGTCAAACAAATACCAGGAAGCAGGCTATAAGCTCTTGACCAGATGGTACAGAGTACCGGTGGCCCTCCATGTGATGTATCCATCGGTATCTGATCTCTGTTGGCGCTGTGGGGAAGAACAGGGATCCCTTTTACATATTTTTTGGTCCTGCTCCAAAGTCAGACCTTTCTGGTCC